AGAGAGAGAGGAAGAGAGAGATGGGAAAAAAACAGGGTGAAAAGGATAAAGAGTGAGAGAGAGTGAGAGAGTGAGAGAGAGAGGATAAAAAAGCAATTAGTCTCGGAAACTTAAAATCATTTTTTTTTTTTTTAAACGCAAAAATGTTATTTAAATTTTTTTTCTCTTTACCAAGTTGGCAACAGTGTAAATAAAAAAAAAAAAAAATCAAATTTTTACCCTCAAATTTTCCTTTTTTACCACAACCACAAAAAAAAAGAAAAAAGGAAAAACAACAAAAAATTTAATTGCCTCGAAACACTTGAATGTAAATTGAAATGATAATGATGATGATGATGATAATAATAATGATAATAATAATAATACTATTAGAAAAAAAACAACAAAACTCTTCCCCTCTTTTCCCTTTCCTTTTTCCCCTTTTCCCTTCCTCCTCCCTTCCTTCCCTCTCCAGTCGAACCTAAAACTGTTTTAAATAAAAAAATTCTGTTATCATCATCATCATCATTATCATCATCATTTCCGGTTTTTACGTATTTCCTGTGGGAAAAAAAATATCACTCGTAAAAGGTTATTCACTCCGGGTGAGAAAAACGTGTTATGGAAAAATTTCAAAAAAAAAACGATAGAATGAGAGAAAGAGAAAAAGAAAGAGAGGGTGAAAGGAAAAACCGGAAAAGGAAACACACGTCGGATTTATTTCCGTTACGATTAATTTCCGTTTTTATAAAAAAAAATAAATAAATAAAAAAATAATTAACTAACCGATGATCATTTCGTCACGTTTTTCTTTTTTTTTTATTAAATTTAAAATTCGAAGGAATCGTTTATGAATAAAACCGGAAACGGAAGTCGTCGCGTCATTAAGGCAAAAAAAATTTTTCTTTTCCCCCATTAAAAAATGATATGAAAATGAAAAAGAAAGAAAAAAAACGAAAGGAAAATTTAAATAATAATTTTTGTTTGTATTTTTTCGAACTGGAAATTCTCCAGTACGATTCCAAAAAACCGGAAATTATATATATAAATCAAATAACTATTTTATTTTTGGAAACTAAAATTTTTACAATTCTCGTGTGACTTTTAACCTTTTTAACCTTTCCCCCCGATATTTCATCGTCATTTATTTCCGTTAACCTTTTTTTGTTTTTTTTTTCTGCTCGAAATTTTTCCAGCTGTTTTAAAAGAAAATAATGATAATTAGTGAACGGTTTAACAACACCCCCCTCCCTATCTTTGTAATTTTTTCATTTCCGGTTTTCCATAGTGGTAGTAGAAAGAAAAACCAGACGATATTATTATCATTATCATTAATCGATAAAATATTCACTAAAAGGGAAAACGTTCAACAGGTTAATAAAATAAAAAAAAATTATCCAGAAAAATTTTTCTGGATAATTTTTTTTATTCATTTATAAACACTTCTTCATCCCCTCCGCCCCCCTCCCGCCTTCTCCCCATCCATCCATCGATTCTCTCATCCCGATTTTATATCCTTCGGGATATTTAAATAAAAAACAATTTTTTCCACTTAAAAGGTATCGGAAAACAAAAAAAAAAAATTTTTTTTTTTTTATTTACCGTGATTAAATATTTAATCGTTTGTTTGTTTGTTTGTTTGTTTGTTTTGCAGATGATGAATTTGGTGAAAAGACTGTTTCCGTACTTTTAGACGGTGAAGAATCCGAAATGATATTTATTGATCATCCAGCTGTCGAAATGTCGGTAAGACAAACAAATTTTTTAACTTTTTTAACAACAACAGACAGACAACAAACAACAAACGTTCCGTTCTTTTTTTTTTGGTGAATAATTAAAAACAAATGTCAATTTTGTTTAAACAATATAAAAGAAAAAAAGATACAAACAAAAGGAAAAAGAAAATTAAAGAAAAAACTGGAAGAACGTCTGGAAAACAAACAAACAAACAAAGGAAAAATTTTTTTTTTTTTTTTTTGAGGAGTTTTCGAAACGTGATGATGAAAATTTGTTTTTGTTTTTTATTACGTAATAAAAATGATAAAAATTGATTTTAAAAAAAAAAAAAGGAATAAAAACAAAGGAAAAAAATTTTCCTTTTTTCCTTTTTTTTATTACATAATATTCATAAAAATACAAAAGAAAATTATTTTGAATAGTTTTAATAATAATAATAATAATTCATTATGTAAAAAAAAGAACAAAGGTAAATATTTTCCTTTGACAAAAAAACAAAAACAAAAATTTTTCCTTTGACAATTTTTTTTTGGTTTCGGGCACGCGAAAAACATCCGCATAGGGAAAAAAAATACACGTTAACGGTTCGTATCTGACGTAACACACGAACGTCGTGTGTGGGTGACGTCAGAGAAATTTAAATATAATAAAAAAATGGCGGGAAATTTTTTATTTTTTTAAAAAATTTTTCCAGGTCGAAAATTGTTTGGCTACTTACGCTCCTCACGCATGCGTCGTCGTTTATTCCGTCGATGATAAGAACACATTTCAAGTTGCTGAAGATATTTTAAATTATTTATGGCGGGAAAATTACACGCATGAAAAATCAGTTATACTCGTCGGTAATAAATCGGATTTAGCGAGATCTCGTGTCATTTCGACAGCAGGTAATTAATTAATTGTTAATTAAAAAACGATATATCGATCGATATACACACATAAAATTTTTTTTTACACTACGAAATATTTGTACGTAGAGACAAATCGCGTTTCGTACCTGTTGCGTCCAACGTCCGTTTGTTCAACGTCCGCCATTTTGTAAAACGATGACGACAACGGCGACGGCAACGACATCTTTCGAAATATTTTTAAATTAATTTTTTTCTTTATTGTTTTCCAGACGGGAAATCGTTGGCCGCATCGAGAGATTCGAAATTTATCGAAACGTCATCCGGTATACAACACAACGTCGACGAATTACTCGTCGGAATATTAAAACAAAGCAGGTTAAAAGAAACACGTGAGAAAAAACAAAAGAGAAGAGGAAGTAAATGCGGTCAAAACGGAAATAGACTTCACGGTTCGAAAACATCGCTCAGTTTAAACATAGCGAGAGAAATATTACAAAAAATATGTTTAAACGATTCGAAATCGAAAAGTTGTGGAAATCTTCACGTTTTGTAGTCGTCGGAAAAAAATTTTTTCAATAATAAAAACGACGACGGTAAATTATTACAAAATGATCATAGTAATCGTCATAACAATACTAATAATATTATTATAAAAAAAAAAAAAAGAAAACCACTTCCGGTTATTTTATCCGTTTCCTCATCCATTTCCGATGGTCTCGAACAAGAAACATTTCTTTAGCCTAAAAAAAATCTTTCCTCCTTTCGTTCATATCGGAAAACATTTACTGGACAATCGGAAAAATTTTTTAGGCGCGCCCTTATCGTTCGTTTTTTTTCTTAGGCGCGTTGATTAATTATATAATTTTTAACATTAATAATTGTTTCTCTCTCTCTCTCGTTTAACCTCTCATTCACTCTCTCTCTTACTCACTCGTTTTGTGGACGACTCAACTAGCGAACTCTTTCGTTTAAATTTTCAATCACTGCCCCCAATTTAAATTCTCGCTTATTTACTTTCTCTTTTCCTCTCGTCGTAATTCCCTCCTTTCCATCACTCTCTCTCTCTCTCACACACACGCACGTTTTCCCTCCTTTTCCTTTAAAATTCATTTCGACAAATAATAATAATACTTTTTATTGTTAATAATCGTAAAAGATCAAATGTCAAAGGTCACTTTTTTTCCCCCTTTTCCGACTTTTCCTTTTAAAAAAATAATAATAATGATAATAATAATGATAATAATAAATAAATAAATTCTTGCTCACTATACATACTGTCCGCGTGTATTTATATATATAATCTCGATTATTAGTATAAATAATAATGATAATAATAATAAAAACATATTATAGATTAATGATAACGATGATAATGATAATGATAATAATGATAATAATAATATAAACGTGTATAATTTGTAATGATAAGAAAAACTATTAAAACTCTACTTGAATTTCCCTCGTCATTTATCAATGAGACTGTTAATCAATTAATTAATTAATTAATTAATCGTTTTTTCTATTTAATAATAATAATAATAATAATAATAATAGCAGAGATGATGATAATGATAATTACTATATATATTTATTTATTTATGTATTGATAAATTATTATTATTATTTTTTAAAAAAATGTTAAACGAATCTTTCAATTGTGTAAACTCTTGTCATCTTGTAATAATAATAATAATAATAATAATGTCTATTTTATTAAATTATTTTGCATTTTTTTCTACCTTTTTTTTGGGGGGTGAGGGGTTGGGGGTTGAGAGATGAGGGGGTGGAAGGATTTTTAAGTAAAAAAAAAAAAAAGTTAAAAACAAGAAGAAAAGTAACAACAAACAACAAAAAGTTAAAAAAAAAAACGTAATTAAAATTTTAAATTCGATCATAGGGAAAACGACGATCAAAAACTCAACACAAACAAACAAACAAACAAACAAACAAGCAAATAAATAAATAAATTAAATTAAAAATGTTTTTATTTTTTACGTAAAAAAAAACAAAACAAAAGAAGGAAAAAGGGAAGAAAGATTAGTGAGTGAGTGGGAGGGGAAGGGGGTGGAGGGATATAAGCAAAAAAAAAAAACGTGGAATTAGATAACTTCATTTAAATTTTCTTCCTTTTTTTCCCCTTTTTTTTTGTAAAAGGAAATCGATTTGGAAAAAAAAGAACAAAATTATTAAAAAATTCGACAAAGCACCTGAAATATTATTATTATTATTACTATTATTATTATTTCTTTTTCACCTTTCGGCTATTTTTTACATAAGAATATTTACGATAAATCGATAAATGATAATTTTTTCATCTTTTTTTTTTAACCCCCTTTGTGCGTTTGTCACATTTTCTTACGAATTTTCCTCTCTCTCTCTCCCTCCCTCTCTCTCTCTTACTCTCTCGTTGTTCTTTTTCCAAAAATTTATGACGTCATCAATTTTTATCTCCGGCATAAAATATATGTTACGAAAACAATATTATTATTATCCCCTCTTACCCCTACATAATATTTTCTTACATATAACGATCTATCTACACAATCAATCAATCAATCAATCAATCATTATCGATCGATAATTACACTCGTATGTTTTTTTTTTTAAAGGAAAAAAATATAAAAAAATTTTCCTTTTTTTTTTTTTTTTTCAAAACCCTTCTCGACCTCATTTGTTGAAATGAGGTCATCATTGATCTCATAAAGGATCAAAACAAACAAACGAACAAACAAACAAACGTGACGGTTCCGTGCATACAATTTAAAACTCTCTTCTCCTACGTAAAAGTTTTTAAAAAAAATAAATAAATAAATAAGTAAATAAAAAGGAAAAAAAGTAACAACAACAACTCTAAACAGGAAAGAAGATTTTCTTCCCATTACAAACAACAAACAACAACTCTCAACAAACCACAACAACCACAAAAAAACATTCATTCGTTACTAATTATAAAAACACTTCAATTATATATTCTATACCTCTTACACATATACATACATACATAAATATACGTATAGGTATCACGTGGTATTAATAATAATAATAATAATAATAATAATATTAATAAAAATAATAATAATAATAATAATGATAATAATAATATTTTCTTTTTCTTTCACATCTTTTGCATTCGCGATTCGTGTTTCATGTGTATTTGTTAATAAATAAATAAATAAATAATAATAATAATATATATATATATAATATTAATAACAATAATTAATAATAATAATAATATATACGACGTCTTCTGCTCAAAAGTATTTAGTCATTTCGCGTAATAATAATAATAATAATAATTTAATTTATATATTATATATATATATATATAAAAGACTTCTCGTGTTTGTTTTGTTTGTATATATATATATATATATATATATTTGTATTTGTTTAAAGCTAAACGTCATCACTAATAAATATGCCACGTTGCCAAATCTCTTTCTTTCTATCGTTACGTCATTGTCGTGGGGTAGTGATTAATAATCAATTAACGATTTTTGATTATTGATAATCAAAAGTAGAGGGGCAAGACGCAGTTTATATATATATATATACGATAAAAGGGGTTCGGGAATGTCGAAGGGGTGGGGGGCGATTGGGCGGGAAGGGGGATGGGAGTAAAAAGGGGGGAGTTTTTCTGTCAAAATGGCAAGAATACGTTTATTTTTTTTTTTGGAATGTTTCCCGGCAAGATGTTTTCTTTTTAAGGTTTTATATTCCACCGTTCGAGAAGGTGATGATGGTGGGGGGTGGTGACGGTGGTGCGGGGGGCGTTTGTGGGGGGGAGGAGAACGACTACGAAATCGATCAAAATTAAAAAAAAAAAAGGTTCTTCGACCTCGCGCACGAAAAAAAAAAAAATCCGTTCGTGAAAGGGGGGGGGGTTTATACGAATAAATTAACTTCGACCCCGTTTGTTGGGGGCGTTCGTTCGGGAACGTCCCGAACGGGGTCGAAACGGGTAGGGGGAGGGCAGGGCAAGAGGGGGGGGTTTAATAATTATATATATAAATGAAAACCTTTTTCCAGACGATGCGTTTTCTATTTGTTTTTTGTCTTAATGTAAACTCTTGTCGTCTAAGACTTTTGAGCATCTGTTTGAACGTGTCTGTATGTGTTTGTGGGGGGCTGTGTGGGGGTGCGCGTGCGCGCGCGCGCTTTCATTTCTTATGCAACGGCAGAATGAACTCCAGGTTGATCTGGAAAAAAAAATAAATAAAAATTAAAAATCGTATGCCTGGAAATTATATTATATGCCTAGAAGGAAAATTTAAAAAAAAAAAAAAATGTTGAACTTACTTAGCGGTTGAGTATTGGAAGGTACGTGTGGGGGTGGACCGAGATAATCCAGACTCCACTGAAAAATAAATGGAAAAATCAAATTGAGGACGTTTGAACGTGGAAGAAGAATTTTAAAAAAAGAGAAAAACTCACCTCTGGTGGAACGATGGCTATGTGAGATGTCGGAGCGGGTCCATAATAACCGGTTGGTGATACCGGAGGGCTTGGATACGATAAAACATACAATTGAGGAAAAGGACCGACTCCGAATTGATGCGGTGGAACTCTGCCGGGTATGGCTGCCGGTAATGGTGATGCAATGAGTTGTGGAGGCGGAAATGGTGCAAATGTTGTCGGAAACGGTGGCGAATGACCGGGCGCCATGTTTCCGCCTAAAAAAAAAACAAAAAAAAAAAATTATAAAAATTTGAAATCCACCGATTTTTCCAACATTTTTCGTAAAAAAAAAAAAATATATATTTTTGTTCTCAATAAGCATATTATATAAGCATGCGTGAAAATTAAAACCGGAAATTAAAAAAACCCTTTTTTCTCTCTCTCTTTCCCATTTCCGTTCGAAAATCAAAACTCTCGCGCGCGCGCGCCAAATATTTAAAAATGAAAAAAACCGTTAAACGTTTTAAACGATCGGTGCCATCTTGAAATCGTTTTTATTTTATTTTTTTTTTTTTTTATACTTTAGTCACTACTTGTCAAACGAGTTATACCGACTAGATTCGATCTATTTGTCTGCTGCCACGAATTTTTCTATTATCATTATCTAAAACGAATCCATCAAAACGTGTTTTTTTCTTTCAAAACTCGATTTCATGCGTGACAATTACAAAAAAAAAAAAACGTGTTTCGGAATGTTCTCGAAACAAATAATAATAATAATATTAATAATAATAATAATAATAATAATAATAATAATAAAAACCATCGATTTTTAATGTGTTAATTTAAAAAAAAAAATCCCCAGCGTGTGTGTAAGTGAGAGAGAGTAATAAAAAGAGAGAGAAAAAAATTTTTTTTTCTATTAAATTTATTATTAATTATCAAAAACTACAAAAACAACAACAAACAAACAAACAAACAAACATTAACAAAAGTAGAATGAGAAAAAAAGAGAATGAATGAATGTTTTACTTACCTTATTAAAAAATAATCCAATCAATCACCAAATCTTCTTTATTATCACTACAGAAACACCAGAATTAAAAAATAAATAAAAGCCCGAAAGTGAGGTAATAAATCAAATTAACAAAAAAAAATTACTTTCCGCTCGCCCCCCTCCCCACCTCCCCATTTTATTTATTTGAAAAAGCGCGCGCGCGCGCGCGAATATGCAGGGAAAAACCGTTAACGCACTCCACATAAACTTATTACGAACGAGAGAGGGAGGGAAACAAAACAAAGGAAAGGAGAAATTTCAACATACACGTTAATCTACTGCCACGTTTTAATTGTTCGTGTCGAAAACTCTCGAAATAATAATAATAATAATAATAATAATAATAATAATAATAGATAAAACGTTTTTGCGTAATTTTTTCGTTTTGTATTTTTCTGATAAGAACCAAAAAAAAGGCCTAAACTCGTTTCGAATGAGGTCGACAAGTATTTAGTTTATTATAAAATTTTCTCTCTTCGATAATAATAATGATAATAATAATGATAATAATAATAATAATAATAATAATACTAATTTAAAACGTTTACGAAACCCCAAAACGTTTTGAATAATAATATTAAAAAAATTTTTAAATTTCGTTTTACTCAACCCCTTTTAACCGCCATTTTTCCTCATTTATTTATCGCAATCGTATGCGTCGGGAGGAAAAAAGGCGGGAAAATTCAAAATTTCAAAAATTTTTTTTTACAATTTCCTCACATTTTTTTTTTTTCGGGTTTTTATTTTATTATTACGTTTTCCTTTTCCTTTTCCTTTTTAATTAAACAAAGAAAAAAGCCCTTAACCGTCAAATTAAAAAAAAAAAAAAAAAAAAAAAACCAAAACCGGAACCGGAAAAACAAAAAAAAAAAAACGAATAAATAAATAAATAAAAATCACCCAAAATAAAAAAGAGACGTAAAATGATTACCGTAGTAGTAATAATACACACACGTAGTAGTAGTAGTAGTAATAGTTGCGGCGTGTTTAAAAGCATCAAAATTAGTCAAAATAAATACTTTTTACTTTTTTAAAATTAATAATTATGTGTAAGAAAACCTGAAACCTGAAAAGCAGACGACGACGTTTATACGTCGTTGTCGTCATCGTGTCATCGTCATCTATTGATAGTTGTTAGCAAGAGGATAAAATAAAATCACAACGACACCAAAATTTATTATTATTATTATAAAATTCATTATTTAACTACTTTTTACTTCCCCTCCCCTCTCCTCCCCTACCCTACTCCTTTCCTACTATCCTACACTACTAGTACCCTGATTTCTCGGTGGCGCGCTCGCGCGGAAAATTTTTAAAAACAAAACAAAAACAAACAAAATGGCCGACGTTAAATCAATCTGATTTAACACCGGTAAAAAATACACGCGCACTCACGCACCCAACCACGCACAGAATTTATTAATAAGAAATCTCTTTCACCTTATTTAATATATGATACATAAATGTATATCATATATTTATATATATTATTTATATTTATTGTAAAATGTACATTAAAAAAAAAAAAAAAAAAAAAACAGAACAGAAGAAAATTCAATAAAAATTAAAAAAGAAAAAAAAAATAAAAACGGTTTTCCTCCTCCTCTTACTTTCTACCCCTCCCCCTCTTCCTTCCTTTCCGTTAAAAAATTTTCCGACAGGTTCTGTACTATGTGAGCTTCGCAGCAATAAAAATAATAATAATAATAATAATAATACGCGACTCATATAAAAATTCAATAATTTTGCCGTTTGTCGTTTCTCCGTCTGTTTGTTTACAAACAAACAAACAAACGAACAAACGCGATCCGACAAAGAATATATATAAAAAAGAAAAAATAATAATAATAATAATAAGCGAAGCACACCGACACAAACTGCGGGAAAATTTAAAAAAAAAAAAAAAAAAAAATTGCATTATACACTAATTTTGCTATTTTGCACCAGCACTAATAATAATAATAATAATAATAATAATAGCAAAAGTAGTTAGAGCGATGGTGGCGGTAGTAGTAGTAGTAATAATAATAATGATAGTAATATGAAAAACAAGCATCCGGGTGTGAGAATTTTTTTTTTTTTAAATATAAATTTGGCACCTTCCAGGACCTCCCTGGAGAGTTAACTTCGACCTTTCATGCAAAAAAAAAAAAAAAAACATCCTTTTTTTCTCCCTCTACCTACCCCCTCTTCCTCTACTCCCTTTCCTCTACCCCTTATTCTCCTACGGCCATTTTATTCTTTTTTAATTATTTACTCAAAACTATAGTTAAAGTTTCTGAAAACTGAAGAGAGAGAGCGAAAGAGAGAGGGAGAGAGGGAGAGAGAGAGAGAGAGAGAGAGAGGTAAAGAAAACACACGTGTAAATTAATAATAATAATAATAATAACAACAACCGCGAGTTGATGCCTTTGATGTCTTTTCATTTTTTTTTTTGGAACAATTAAAATTAAATTCGCGTAACGAGACGAATACGGTAATGGATAATCTGGAAAAACGAACGGAAAATCCCTAAAGAGAAAGAGAAAGAGATAGAGATAGAGATTTCCCTCTCTCTCTCTCTTTCTTTCCTTTTTTCCCAATTAAATATTCATTGTTATAACAATAATAATAATAATAAAAAAAAAACGCGCGTGATGTATATCTATAAGGGAAATGTGTGTGTGTGTCACGTGATCTATCTTCGAACGCGAATAATAATAATAATAATATTCAATAATAATAATGATAATAATTAAAGAATTCCGTGCCGTGAAATAAGGAAGAAAAAAAAAAACGAAAAAAAAAGGAATCAACCAAACTCACACAATAGAAAGTGAGAGAGAGAGAGAGAGAGAGAGAGAGAGAGAGAGAGAGACGGAGGGAGTGAGAGAAAGAGAGAGAATGCAAAGGCGGAAGTTAACTCTTTTTTTTCTACAATATAAATTTTTTTTTTTTTTTTTTACTACCACCACGAGGTAAAAATCACTTCGCCATCCACATACGTACGTTATGGCAATAATAATGATAATAACAATAATAATAATAATAGAAAAAGAAAAGTGATTTTTACCCCCTGAACAAAAAAAAATAAAAATAAAAATAAAAAGTTAGTATAAATCCCCAACCCAGTGATGCTACATTTAAAAAAAAAAAAAAAAAAAAAAAAACACAAAAAAAAGTAAACAAAATAATATTAATAATAATAATAATGATGATGATGATGATGATGATGATAAAAGCTTGGTATAACCTTATTACGCAAATAATAATAATAATAATACTAATAATAATAATTTCATCGATTGTGTAAAATTATTAAAAATTTTTTTCTTTTTTTCATGCGCCACAACCGAGCGACGGTATCGACTACGAAAATAATAATAATATTAATGATAATGATAATAATATTAATAATAATATAAATGATAATAATAATAAAATCAAGTCGGAAGAAACAAAATGGTGGTGGCAACGGCGATGACGCGTTGACGTCATTGGTATAAGAGGTAGCCTAACCTTAGAGTAGTGGTTGTCCGTTGGTTACACGTTTCCGACATTTAAATTATTATCATTATTATCATTCCTATAATCATTATTATTATTATTTCATTTCCTAACGGTCATAATAAATAAATGTTAAAAAATAAAAATTTGAACAAACCGAGTCGCGATTTTTTTAATTTTTCGTTTCGAAACCGGAAAGAGAAGAAAAAAAAAAGAAAAAAAAAAAGAGTCGCCATTTTTTTTTTTTTTAGCGTGGGGACCACAACCTTTTTTGGTTTGGGGAGATAACAACAACTACAACAACAACAACAACAATAATAATATCGACAACCCTTTTTTTTTTTAAAAATTAAATAATAAATTAAATAATGGCGTAATAAAATAACACCAAGATGGCGATGATGACGATAATGATGATGATTGTGATGATGATGATGATAATAATATTAACAACAACCATTAAAAGTTTCGTGTGAAACCGGAAAGGGAGAGGAGGTTAAATAAAATAAAAAAAATAAAAAAAAAGAAGAAGAAAAAATAAATAAAGAAAAAGCCGTGGAAACCGTTTCGCACACATTTTTTTTTCTAGAAATTTCCATTCCTTTTCCTTTCCTTTAACCTTTTCCTTCATTTTCTTCTTCTTCTTTTTTTTTATCTCCCCAAAAAAAAAAAAAATAAAAATTAATAAAAAATAATAATAAAAAAACGAAAGAAAAAAATAAAATAAAATTCGGGTTCTTTTCTTTTTTTAAATTAAAATTAAATAAAAAAATTTCATTGAGCTATAAATATATGTATATATATATATATATATAAATCGGCGTCGAGAGTGATGTGATCGTTTCGTTCCTTGCTCTCTCTCCCCCCCTCCCCCCATTATTTCCCGTTTGTTTCTCTCAACAAACAGACAAACAAACGAATTTAAACTATCCTAATCCTTAAGTACTTGTCAAAAGCTCATTAAGTAAATAATCGTACAATGATCCTTTTCCCCTCTTACGTTAAAAAAAAAAAAAAAATTTCCCTGATTTGCGGGGAAATATTTTCCCTGCATCTCCCCCTCCTTTGTTTTGTTTATTAAGTACATTAAAATAATAACAACCGACCCATTAATACACATCGTCAGGGGGCAAGAACACACACACACTCTCTCCACCATTATTAATTACGCTAATAATAATATTAATAATAATAATAATAATGATAATAATAATAATAATAATAATGTTAATTTCATGTTATAAAAACAAAAACAAGAACCCAATAATTAAAAAAAAAACTTATTATCATTATTATTTTTTCTTTTTCCCTTCGTTTTTTTATAATGTACAACAAATAATACCAATTCGTTTTTCACTCCATATATATATATGTATATATAATTTTCATTTCCGGTCTGGAATGTTCCAGAAAAAAAAAAAAATTTCATTTAAAGTTTTCTTTTCGTAAAAAAAAAAAAAAAAAATGTCTGTACAAAATTAAAATAATAATAATAATATTTACAGAGAAAAAAATATTATTAAAAAAAAAAATTTTTTTTTTTTTTTTCTGTTTTCCTTCCGGCAACCCTGATCATCATCGAACAAAAAAGAAAAAATGATGATGATAATAATAATGATAATTATACATATATATATATATATATATATATATATTTGTTCGGTTATTTTATTTTACTGTCACACTTTTCAACCCTACGTTTCTCTCCCTCGAGTCTAGAGGGAGGTTTTTTCTTCCCTCCGATGGGAGCGTTAGATATTTAACCACCGGTAACAAATATTCGAACGGAGGGGGCGGGGCGGGGGGTGGGTAGAGTTGCGTTTTCTTTTGAGGCGTGTCCTATCCTACACCCTTATCACGACGATGATGATAATAACAAACGAAAACGAGTCGCGAAAACAAAAAATCAAATACCCCCATAGATATTAGCATACCTGATCGATGACCCCATCTATTTTATAATGTCAAAGGTCATCATCGTCATCCCCATTTCGTTAACGAAAAAAATATAAATAATAATAATAATATTTTGCGCCAACGAACGATCGTAATAATAATAATAATCAAAAAATAAATAAAAAATAACAACGATTCGGAAAATCAATCAATCAATCACTAAATCATTAATAAATAAATAAACAAATAATAAAAATAATAATAATAATAATAATAATAATAATAGCAGTAGTAAAAAAAACCCAATCCAAACTGTTAATTTTTTTTTTTGTATAAATTTTTTTTATTTAAAAAAAAGCCTTACGACGCTACGTTTTTTTTGCTTTGCAAAAGAGAGATAGATAGATAGATAGAGAGAGTATAGAGAGAGAGAGAGAGATAGAGAGAGAAACCCACCGTTTTTCCACCACCTCAAAATACAACAACAACAACAACAACTCAACACCAGCAACCCCTCGCTCTTGTGTTTGTGTTTTTATGTGTTTTTTTTTTTTTTACGTGTGATAATTTCAAACACCAAAATAAATAGATAAATAATAATAATAATAATAATACTGTACTCTCCGACACACTTACATTATTATTATTATTATCATTATTATTAGCCAATGGTTAAATGTCAAAAACTCCACAGAGGAAATATCTATCTATATATATATATAGCCTAGCCTACAGGGTTTTATTTTCCCCTTTTTTTTTTAAATTAAGAGTAGTAGTAATAATAATAATAATAAAAACAGCAATAATAATAATAATAATAACAATAGTAAAATAAAATAAAAAAAAAATTAAAGTAATTTTCCAATTACAAAAATGAATGAAAAAAAAAAAAAAATCAATCAATCAATCAATAAGTAATAGCATTTATCGGAATGAAAGGAATGTTCTGGAATGGTCGATGATGGCGTTCGGTGATGATCATGATCATTACGACGACGATACGTAAACATACATTAATAATAATAATAATAATTAAGGACGGAAGGGAATGAATGTATATATGTAGAAATCACTTGCCGTGGAAAACGCGAGCGCGCGCGCACGCGCGCAGGTACACGCAACGTTCGCGAACGCGTGTTTTTTCTTTCTTTCTTAAACCACGTCATCAATAAGGAATGTAAATCGAATAAAAAAGAGCCGAATAAAAAGCTCAAAGGTACAAATTGTAAAAGAAAAGAAATGTCCGATTCTAATATTCTCTTTAAAAAAATATTATTAATAATAATAATAATAATCTTTCTACTATACACTACGTAATATGGGTATAATAATTAACAAATTATTAATAAAAAAAACACAACCATGTGTATATATATATATAAGTATATATGTAAAAAAAATAAAATAATAATAATAATATTATTATTATTATTTTCATCTTACGTATAATTTCTAAGTACAAAATTTAAGTACTTGGAAGGGGGGGGGGGGAAATAAGGCACGGTGCGATATTCACTGGTCTGTTTATATCTTGTCTCATTTTTTTTTTTTTTTTTTAAACTTCGTGGTAGAAACCTGGAGCTGCGAAACCGG